TTTCTGTCTTACGCAGTACATGCGGAGGGATTTGGGAGATCACGCAACCATTAAAATTGATTGACTCTGATGGGAAACTTGCAACGCATTCCAGTATGTTCATGATCTAACTACCCGCATCATAACAGCTTGGAATACAGCCTATGTCCCAAATGTACTGGAAGCTGCACTCTGTTACATTCTATTACTGTGACCTTGCGATGTCACCTTTAAATATTAAACGGCTTACATCTGTTGTAAGTAGCATTTGAAACTAAACTTTAAGCAGATGGTACCTTGTTGGATCCAGTGTATTTCGTGCGAAACTCGCCAAATCAAAAGGTTTCTTATCAGTAATGCTCTGCGCAGGTGCAGTGACATCAGCGAGTGCACTGAAGAAGCAAAATATCAGGGCTGCTGGAAAATTACAGCGAATTTGCAGCGAATTTGCCGCAGTAGTGCTGCAAACTGCAATTCCTTCTCGTAAATTTTGCAGCAAACTTTACTGTATTATTGCTGCTTTTCATTTTGCTAAGGAATTTCACTCACTTCGTTTGATGCATATTGGCCGCTATGCAGGTATAATTTCGCTGTGTAAAGCAAAAACCGGGCAGCCATGACACTCAACACTTCACAGCCAGCTGCTCTAGTTTTTTGATGTTTTTTTAAATGTTTCACTTGACTCACTGGCCGTGGGCGGCGGCTCTTCTCTAACCGACATGATTTAAAGCACTTCGTCAAGCTGATTGCTTATAAAACAGTGTATGATCTCCATAATACAAGACAATACACGACTGAAACCCTTCCAACCCGATCGCAATTTAGAAGTTTTATACACACATTGTTCATTTACTGTTACACACACGTGTTTTTTTAATCCAGTCAAAAGAAAATACATGACCTGTCCAAACTTACAAAGGCTGTATATGAAAATGCGCAATAGATAATCATTTAAATGACGTTTCTATCTGGAATATTGATTGATTTGATATAAAGTACACAATGGTCAAATGTCATCGATCATCATCAGCGGAACAACAGGTGCGCTACACGTGCATGGTACTCTATAGTGACATATACTGTATACCGGTAAAGTATGTCTTTAGAAAAAATAGCACATAATTAATACATACATAATCAATACACATAATGAGCAACACTGGCAACCTGCTATCTCTCTCACCTTTAATGTAGCCTGAAACATACATCATTTTAAAACATCATGTTGCTGTCACCTGTTTCCACCCGAGGCGATCTGTTTTAATGTATTTTATAGCTCGTTAGATCCAGTTCACCGTCATGATCAATGTCGATACACGACACCTACGCAGACCCGGGTCCCAAACTGGATTGGGCTGTCGTTTACACTCACATTATCTAAGTAAAAACCATTCAATTGAGGAGAGTTTCAGTGCATATGTTACCTGTGGCATAACGTGACCTTTAACCTTTACCTTTTTTTTTAATCTGACCTTTTTAAATTGACTTTATCTAAAGTTTGAGAAAGTTTTAAGTATGAGCGTGGGAGAAGCAGCGAAAAGGAGGGGGGTAAATTACTATGTGTACCAAGTATTTTCGGTCCTGGAAGTAAATAAACTTTTGACAGTATTTGAATGTACGAAAAGAGACTTAAAGTTATACCGGTACTGTACGTGTTTGAAAATTTCCAAAAATTAAATTGGCTTCCTCTACATATCCTGTAAATTCTTCTTCTCTTTTTCAATTAAGACATGCAAAAATATTCCAAAAATCATCAAATAAAAGTGCCAGATGTGATTATTTTCTTCTGTAATGCACAAGAAGACAATGCCGTCTTAATGACTGACCAGACATTCAGAACCCGTTGGATTCAATTAGAAATGTCTTAAATCATCGAATCTGAATTCATGGTCCAGTCGAAGAATGATTCGTGAGTAGGGAAAAATTGCAAAGTTTTCAAGGGAAATCCAATTTGACTGGAATATACCATACGGGATACGTTTTATATTATTCCACATTTGCTTGTCCAAGTAAATAGGATAAAATGTTTATGGTTTAGTGTTGTAAAAATACAAACTGTATCACAGTTAGACTTTGAACGTGAGAACGGCATGGCAGGAATGGTAGTCCTAGGAATAATAGTCCAGGTTCCCATATGATTAGTACAGGTAGGGGTTAGTTGGAGGTTAGTATAATGGGACGATTGTCACAAGTACAAAATAGTAGGGACGGACTAGCGGACTTCAATTCCTGTTACACTGGTACACGTGCTGGGCAATATATCTAGACAAAACTGTGGACTTGGAAATATGATGGAATTTTCCACACAGGAATTTAAAAAGTCCCGCCCACGTGAACATCACGTGACATCTCAGCCCTTTGGTCTTCCGGTCTTTTTGAAAGCGAGGCTTGCATTCAATCCGACAAACATGCGTGTACAATGAAAAACCAAACTGATTTTCAATTCCAGTTTGTCTCCAATTTCAGCATTGATTCCAAACTCGTGAACAATTGGATTAGTTTCCACGAAGCCATATTTTGAACTTTCACTAGCGAAAAGGTTAAACGAAATAGGAGACGTTATACGATACTCTTTTCAGATCCTACATCTGGGATGTAATTGTATTTGGTAAACCTAATTTTGGTTAATGTACCGTGGACATTTTACGTGTAGTTTTTGACTCGAAATGAACGCAACTTTGAACGAATTATCAACGCCACGAATACAATAGAAAGGCTGTTGTGGCATTGTGTATTAACAAAAGATACACTTTTAAGTAGGCGAAACTTGCAATGATCGGATAAGTTTTCTAAATGCAATTACATCTGTTTTTCAAGACAGTCCAGGATTTATGACAATGGCCGTTTAAAAGGCACGTGCTCGATAGATTGTCAATAAACCAAACACGCACTTGCAATCCATCTTTAAAGGAGTGAAAAATGAAACTCGCGATGCAGCGGCTTTGGCTACTAATTGGATTTCGAGGTTTCAGTTAGTACATATTGTCATCTGCAAACGATTGATAAGTTAATGTTTTCAGATAGTTTTTTTTTTTTTTTTTTTTTACTGAGACTTACGGGAACGGAGAAAAAACACAACCACTATAACAGGCGATTTTACGGAAAGAAACAAGAGGTATGTTTACAGTAGATAATGTAACTTTTTACAGTACTCTGAAGCATATTTTCCTTCGAAGCATTGGCAGTCCTATACGGCACGTGACACAGAATGGACCAATCACCTTCAACGTCCTCCTCTCGGAATTATAAAATGTTTTTTTTTTCAACAAGGGATTCGGGATACGTGATGATTTCCTCATCAAATGATCCTGAATCAAACAACTCGGCAAAGCAACCTGTAATTACCACATATAACTTCAAGTTATCAGAATACCTGTACTGATATGTTTCTCTAAGTACATGTAACTAAAATGAGAAAACTTATACTCTTAATTGATTATTCTTTGTGCTATGAACCGTACGTTTTCTCCTTCTGTCCGGGATTCAAATTAACCCCGGTAATTTCTAGTGACAAGAACACCTGAAGCTCACTTCTTCCACGTTTCCGTTCTCCTTTGAGCCCTCGCGGTCTCGTGGAGAACTGCGGGCTAAAGATCATATTAGACTTTAATCAAACAGCACGCATGATAAGTACTTCGAGTAATGGCTTTTTCTTTCAGCCAGCTGCAGCGTTTTTACATTTACAAGAACCGTAGCTTCCGGGAGGATTTCTTTGTTTAAAGCTAATGATGATTTAGGAACTAAAGCATTCGCCATTCATATGTTATATCTATTACAAAGGAATTGCAATAATCGTTGTCCCGATATGGAACCATGACAGCTGTCAAGCCTGTATGAATGTGAAAAAATCAGACGCACTCCAAGGTACACTTCCTACATGTAGATATCAATATTTTAAGTTGGAAGTCATTCTCATACTGTTTAAACCTTCAATTGACTTAGAACGATTTAGTAGTCCGTAGCAGTTTCTGCCCAATGACGCAACAGACTAGCCTTGGTACATGTATTACGGCTTTCCGCCGTGAGATATCATTATACATTGTGGCCAATAAAAGAGAGACTCACATAACATCAATCTATCATTGATTTCGTTAAAATGAGTACAAGATTTATCGGGCTGAAACAGAACAATCTATGCAAGCCTTTATGCCGAGAAACACGCTTGGCTATATTAACAAAATGAACAATTCAAGAAATAGGAGACCGCTTTTCTTCTGTCAGACTGGTTTCATGTGTTTCTTTACAGAACTATAGCAGTTCGCTTTGATCTATTATTAACTATAGTCTGCTTTGAACAGACAATTGATATATTCATGTGATAAAAGCAAATGTAGTCGGCATGCCACAAGTTTTTAAATATAACATATAAAATGCATGCAGGTATGTGAACAGGACAAGTTAATTTCTAAAACCAGAATTCTGCAAAAAGCGTGATACCAGTATCAGTCCCTCGCATATTCACCTGTATGGCATTTGATATCGCTTAATTTGCTCGAGCGAGTCGGCCGTATGTTAGTTGGTATAGGAATCCTTGGAGTGTTATGTTTACTAGCTATCTTGTAAAAACGTCTACTTTACCTAGATATGTCTTGGTTGTCAGGATTATTTTAATAAAATCCGAAAAGAGTGAACACTCCATGAGGTTCTAATTGTGTTTCAGTGGCTCTGATGTGAGAATCTGCACGGATCTAGCCACCAAGTGTGCAGTCATCAGGTTTTATGGATAGATAATTTCTATTATTTGTTTTGCAGAACAAACAATTTCATTAATTTACCCATTTACCCATCCATGGTTAATTGTATCAACGATCCATGTGCTAAAGCACTGCGAGCCATCATGCGATCGCAGAATGCATTATTCACGGCGAATGACATGGAATGCTGCGCTGATTATGCCACCCGCCGTGAATTCTAAATGTTTCCACATATATTTTTGGCTTAAATTGAATTGTGCACATGTAGAGACGTATAAATACGACGCCGACAACAGAACACAATTACACAAATAAAGGAAACTCTACTTACACGAACACATGGTACGCTATGGAGGTCCAATCCTTGGGCCTTTCCAGAAAGTTGTATACTTTTGACTGAACCTTTCTGTAGTGGGGGTCCGGAGGCGGTCGGTAGGCTATCGGTTTCCCAAGAAGCGACAGTCTAGGCTGCCTAAACCTTGAATGCATCGACCCCCCATGTTTCCTTCCATGGATGTTATTAAATTCCTTCTCAACGTCGGTTCTAAGGGAATTTTTCTCCGAGTCGCCGTCATCCATGATAAATTCAACGCGCAGACGTTTGCCGTCGTTTCCTCGCCGGTGGTGAGAAGATCCCTTCAAACAAGGGGCCCTGAGCGTACGCTTTTCTTTCTTGTCGTCGTGATCGTCTGCAAATTTTTGAGGTGAGCAACACTGCTCGTCTGCTGCTAGTTTCCCTTCCTTCACTTTAATTCCACACGGCTCTGTCTCTGCCGCGATCGCGTTATCGTCTGCTAGATCCCAGTGGCAATTATCGCCTGCTAAGTTTGTATCCTCGAACCCCAACTGATGAGTGTTAATCTCAAAGTCGATTGCTCTGTGCAGCTCCTCTTGCTCGCGCTCGAATGTATCATTCTGCTGCTCTGAGTCGAGCAACGATCCAAGCGCCTCTAGTGACGACATTTTGACCGATTTGAAGAACAGTATCTGTTTAGTCCAGGTCTCCGTGAGGATTCTTCATTCACATCTACAGCAATTACGTGGCATGATTAGAGTCCTCCAAATCAATTAACCTGAAAAATAAATACCTCAATTGCAATTTTGTAAATATTGGAATAATAAAGAATATGGTTATTAGATTAAGACGGTGCGCGGTAATTTCAGCCCAATTTATCTTTCTTACTTGCCGGATTATCTGCGGTGTAAAATTTCAGCGTAACCCCACTTAGATAAATAATTTCAAGGAGTGTAAAATACTTTCATTGCCCACAAAAACAAAATGTTTCCAAATCATTCTCAAATGTGGTGGATTATCGTCAGAACGTTTGTCGAAAATGCGGTTCACACTCAATCGTCTTTTTGAAAAATGAGTCCAAATGACCACTTTACATTTCCTAGCTAAATAACAAAATTGGTTGAACTCATATGGCATGGACCACAATAACAAATTACCATCCCTGAATCAGACACTTACCACGCAAAAAAACACCCAAATGACAAATTAAAAGTGTTGACTCTGGTTTGAAAACTTTGACTTACGTGTGAACACATGTTTATCTAATGCCATGTTTGAGAAATAACAAAATGCTCGGAACGCACGTCAGTGATTAAGAAGCGGAATATCATTTTCTTTAAACTTCCGGGGGGGGGGAGATTTTCTCTAGAACTAAATAAGACAGGAGCTGGGTGATATGCCAGAACATATTTTCATTTCCTTGCAAATTTTCGAAGTGTAAATGCCTATATTTATATACCCTTTTTGTTAATGGTAGGAATCCAACATGTAAAAATATACGTTCCATAAAGTGAAAAATGTTTAATCGTTTTCTCCTTCCAAAACAACAGGAAAAAGATTGGTGGCAAGAAAAATGGTTTTGACCTTGACCTTTCTAGCCACACGTGCAACGATCGTCTGCCTGGGTTTTATGATCTCTCAACACGTTCTGTTGAAAGCTGCGTAGAACGATTTTTTCCAGCAAACCACCTGGATTTCGTCCTTACAAGCTCAATGTTTATTTATATTCGGAAATCTACATTCCATAGTTTTTGTTAAAACAGAAATACATTCGGTCTTCTCCGGAAACATTCGAGAATGCTCTTCAGATACACATTTATTGGCTCTAGATTAGTAGTTGGCTAGTCTAATTCTGAAACATAAGACAAGCATGTGCTAATCCATGTGTATCTCTTAAGCCATATCCATAAACTTGACGTGATATAGATGTGTTAACTGAATGATAAAGAAGGTGTCATTGTTGATAGGCATCTTTACTTTAGAATGTTGTTTTCCGTTTTTATTTTGAGGTAATTTTATATCTGAAGTCTGTTTTATCTATATCTGAGCTTCGATGTAAAATACTTGATTTCGAAAAATGTTAATGTTTAATAAGTTAGCACTTCGTTGCCAGTAAGTAGAAACGCTTCTCCAGAATCATCTGGAATCATCTGACCAGGGCCGTAGCCTCCGGGGGGGCAGGGGGGGCAGCTGCCCCCCCTGGAATTTGGAATTTTACACACCTCACCCTCCCCCCTCGGTAGCTTCGACCCCTCGTGTCTGCTTACTGCCCCCCCTGACATTTTGCTCAGGCTACGGCCCTGATCTCTGTGAGTTTTGAATTCCTTGACATGGAGTACGACTTATTATCTAAATGACTTAAATATCCGCACAATTACTACATAACAGCGCATTTTCCATTAGTTTAAAGATGCATACGAAGTCAATTTTTGGTCACAAAAGCCAACCAGATGGCAGCATATAGTTTCAAGTAGTATAACTAAGAGAATTGCCAAAAGGCATTGTTTAATTTTACCCGAAAATGGTGTTTGAATAGATTTTTCTGCTAGCATTCTATGCTGCATGTCAATGGGCCAGAAAATTAGGTCACGAAAGTAGGTTAAATTTTTGACCAAAAATTTAAAGAAAGGAGCAGTCTAAAGTTCTTTTACGGCTGATTCAGTTATTTATTCAGTAAATCCCTTGGCATGTAGAATTTATTTGAGTCATATAAGAAACTAGTAGAAGTGGTTTATATGTGTTACTGGGAATCCATGCTCCACTGATGCTCGATTCGTATGTACCTTTAAACGACCACAAAATCAACGCACAAATGTATTCTCTCATTCAGCGAATAAATATGGGTTTTTGATATGGATTACCAATGCCTCGTCTTTGACAATCTAAGCATATGACATATCGAAGCTTTTGACAGCGCCCTCGTTTGTGTATGTGGCAAAGTAAGACTCAATTCCCTACTACATATAGCACAGTTGGTATGTCTCATTGTCTTAGCTAGAAAACCCTTACTGTACATAACGAGTTCTCATTGCTGTCAATGCTCTTATTCTTTTACAGGCGGTTCATGTGAGAGAATACCTGTTCTCAACCATTTCTTGCTTTGCATTAGTGTAGTCTTTACCTGTATAAGGGGAGCCGGGTAACGCCACACCTTCTATTTGTGCCATTTTACCTGTATCTTCACACAGTGCCGTCTTTAACTGTATGTGGAGATAACAACGCTTTACCTTAAAACGGTGGCATAATTACCTGTTTGTGGTGGATATATAATAACGCCAAACCTCCAAATGCTGTAGTACACTGATGAATGCATCTTTCAAAAAGTCCTTTCTCTGATGCTATAATTTTTTCAACGTTCCGTATGACGCATTCGTACAATAATATTTCGTATTGGATTTTTAGAGCAGCAATGTTTGCACCGGTTTTGTGTGTTTTATACGCATTACTTAAGAAACTTAAACTGTGATGACCCGAATGGATATAGACAATAGACTTTACATAAAGCCATGTTCGTATGCCCCTTTGGGTGACGGTTTTTATTTTAATTTTTCCAATATTTTCCTAGGTTATAAAGCTGCCCAATTAGTCAACGAGTGATGCTGTAAGATGGGACTTAAATAAAACAGCACTTTAAAAGAAGCATACCTTTTACAGTAAAACAATCGATGGCAGTTCTTTTCAGTAACACACATGTATACCTCGCGTTCTCATAAAACATTTACCAAAAGCAAACATGAATTTATACCATTAGCAAATACTTAGTCGCCCACTGAATTAAAGTGATTCCAACCGCAAAGTCACGGTGTATAATGTGAAGCACCGTTATTACCTTTTCTCAACAAGGAGCGGTTACATCGATAAGGAAACAGTTAAATAATTGAGAAGGCAATTTAATTTGTTAAGTAACGTCTCTCTAGCCCACGTGCGTATAATGGATCTTGTATATTCAACTACTGAAACAGTATAGGCCTTAAACTATAACAAAATAGCATTTTAATGGCCTTTTTCTTTGTGTCGAAGTGTTGGCTGATAATAAAAAAGAAAACTTTTTGAATATTTAACAAGCGGTACACGGTGTGCTGACCCCAAATTCGCTGCCAGAAATAAAGATGTAAGTATATACCTAACGTGCGAGATAATGCCAAACAGCTTATCCCGTGGATTGAGGCGTAGACCTCAAACAGAATACAGATTTGGTGAATACATATAGACATTTATAATAAATTCATTTGTATATTATACCACGATGCTTACCTACTACCCCAAAGTCTGGGACAGGAAATGCATTTTACTTTATCAAAATCCTCAAATGCATAGCAAAATAAAATTGTTGCAGTTCTTATAATTTCCTCGTGGGATGATGCTATTGCTTTATTTGTCCAACTTATTACTTTATAAATGGACAGTTACAGACAGTGCAATAAATATCCCAACGACCTTTATAAGTGACCACTCACACAACGACGATGTGCTCCTAAAGCCCACTTCGCACAAGCTTACCCAGGATATATCGAAAGAGTGTGTGGGTTTTTCTAATATTTTCTTCTGTCGATTCTCTAGGCAGTCGATGATTTCTTTTTTCTCGTGGAGACATTTTTATGTTGTATGATACAGGGACTAAACCGTAGCCAGGGGGGTTCGGGGGGTTCGAAAGAACCCCCCTTTTTGAAGGGAAAAGGTCCCCTCTGGGTGAAATTGAATTAAGGAACATGAAAGTTTCATGTTAAAAGGACCACTTTTTCAGAAAAAGAACCCTCTTTTTGAAATTTCTGGCTACGGGCCTGCTAAATGAATTTGTCTGGTATCGGTCATAAGCATATCACTCGTCTGTGAAGAGTAGGGGAGATGCTTTCAGAACATCATCTGCAAAAGAGTTCTACAGCAAGGAAAAATGAGTCCTTTTCTTATCACAAACGTTCAGACCCCCCCCCCCCCTTCCCTCAGTATTAATTATATCACAATACTGTAATAGATAATAAAACCAATCTTTAAATCAATGATAAAATAAATGAAGCGTGAGTTTTATTTGGATATTTTTTAATATCTGCTATTGAGTATACTTGTACACCCAGACCATGCATACAACATAAATTTCACACATCCTCCAATATGTCACCACACGCAAAGCAGTAACATTACTGCACTTCTTTTAAGAGTTTTCAGGTATCCTCACAGGTGCGCGTTTGCCTTGGTGCTGTTGTCAAGGACAAATGTCACCATTTCCCAAGTTTCGTCTAGATTATTGCCGAGTCCTTGCACTCGCAGTATTTAATAATAATAATAATAATAATAATAATAATAAAAATAATAATAATAAGATTCTTATATGGCGCCTTACATTCTATCTCAAGGCGCCTTACAATAATGGCTAATATGCTAAAATCATTTAAATGACTACAATATTTTAATCATAAACTCTCATTGGAAACCATTTAAAATTTACACTACTAAAAAACAATAATTAAAATACATATATATTTTTTTAAAAAATCTAAGAGATAAAGACAAAATTAAAAATGTGGGTCTTTAAAAGATATTTAAAATTGTCAAAGTATTTCTAAGTAAATTAAGGTACAGGTATTCGTTTAGTACAGTGTCTATCTCAGGCTAGAAGTAACAGAGGTTCCCTCTGAATTTCCATACAAGTAAACAACAATGACATAGACATAAAAGAAAAAAATCCAACAAGGACAACGATGAACAACATTTATAAGACAGCCTTGAGTTCGGATCCTGCATTCCGACTCTTCCAGAGTCTTGTTTGTATGATATTATGCCTCATTAAACTTACAACTAACTCGTCACGCTTGTGCGCGTTTATGACATTTCTGGGAAATGACTGTCTTCTTTTTTTTTTCAAAAAAATAATGAAAGATCCATCCATAACACCGTATCCCAGCTGTATGACGATCGGGAACTTCATGTTACATAGTTTAAAGAGACAAAAGAATTGCAAAGCTAAACTTGATGAAATTACTTTGTATGAAATAACGCTTGCAGACTAATGGATTTTTTGTCCGAAAATTAGCTACGTGCACGTGCACAACAAGAAAAGAACGTCTAGTTCTTCAAATTGTTATTTGATCTCCATGTTTCCAAGCTCATCCCCGNATATTCGCAACACTTATAACGCAATTACTTAGCCTTAAGCAGTATTCGCTGACATCCCTTGATTCAATGTTCTAAATCAAGGTTAAATAAAGCCAGATGCATGAAAAGTATGACACAGTTAGCTTTAGCTATCACGCACTAACTCATGAACGATAACGTTCGCGCCAGAGCACGAACAAGCACACACACACACACACACTCACACACACACACACATATATATATATATATATATATATAGAGAGAGAGAGAGAGAGAGAGAGAGAGCATAAAGGAACAGTCATATACATGTGCTCAAACACGCTCTCGGGCACGCCGCGCAAGCACACACACACACGCACACACACACACGCACACGCACACACACAATTACAAAAACTTCCATAATATTCCATAATATACATCACCACGTCTTCAGAAAAAAATGGTATGCAATTTTGCATCTCCCAACACCAACTGCATGTACCTGCCTACTTTGCAAAGGCTGTGCACCCATAGAAACTAAAGGTAATAAATCCCGAATGCATACCTCTGTTTCGTAGATAAGCTGCACTTGCTGACCCATCCGTAATTTCTAGGATAGGATATCTAAAGTACATGTATAAAAACGAGAAACGTATGTGAAACGGCGCTGTTTGCGGACGCTAATGACACATAAGGGTATATAATATTAATTTAGATAGTTACTGTACCTTGAAAGATACTTAAGCTAACAATGTCCGCCCGCATCGTAGACGTACGTCCATCAATAAACTAATATTAATGGCATGTGTGCGTGTTTACCTGTATTCACATCTACGTAGATAACTATATTGAATCACCTAGCTTTCTGTTTGGTATGGAGTTAAAATTAGTAGCCGTGCGAATATATTTTGGGACGATTTTAAAAGGAAAAAACTTATAAGTGGCGTCGTATTTAAACCTTCGCTGAACTAATTTTAAATTGATCATTGAATGTTTGGCCATTTACTTACAGAACTACAGGAATACGTGTGCTAACTTATTATCCTTACCTGTATGTTCAATTTGTGCAAGACTTTCTTGTTTCATCCATCTTTTTCTATGTCTTTGCAGAGAACTCTTTCTATTTACATATTGGCATATTTAGGGCTGTTCTGTGCACATCTCTATCAAAACACTTTATCCATCAGATTTCCATGATACTAGTAAATATTGGAAACTGTCAAAAAGCGTCCACTGTCAATCTTTTCATCTCTAGCAAGTTCGCACTGATCATAAGGGAAATAAATGTGGTAACTATACTTTAAGGTGTAAAGTAGCGCGGTTTTAGACCTTCTTAAGAACAAAACAAGTCAACTTATATGGATTCTCTTTGACCGTTTGCCCCTCAAGATAACCGCTTTACCTTAAGGTTGTGTCCTTATGCTACACGACATTGTCGTACATTAATTAACGTCTTCTTTGTTGTGCATTGCGTCAGCAGCAAGGACTGGCAATTTGGCCATACATATCGGTTTAATCTTAAAGATGCATACAAAGTCAATTTTTTGCCACAAAAACCGACCAAATGCCAGCATATAGTTTCCAGTAGTATAACTAAGACAATTACCAAAAGGCATTGTTTAATTTTACCCGAAAATGATGTTTGAACGGATTTCTCGGCTAGCATTCTATGCTGTATGTCAATGAGGCAGCAAAATAGGTCACGAAAGTAGGTTAAATTTCCCACCAAAAATTTAAAGAAAGGAGCAGTCTAAAGCTCTTTTATGGCTGATCGAGTGATCTATTCAGTTTATCCCTTGGCATGTCGAATTTATTTGAGTCGTATAAGAAACTAGTAGAAGTGGTTTAGATGTGTTACTGGAAATCCACTCTCCACCGATGCTCGGTTCGTATGTACCTTTAAAACAAGTTGCAAGAAAATTTACATAGGTACCTATCAGTTTCTTAAATCTATGTTTATATGTACTGAAGATCGTGTGTAGCAGATATGGACTACGAACGTACCTCACATGTGAAGAAAATTGACATATATGCAAAAAAATTAAAATTTCCCTAGTGTTCTATAGTAGCCTATTTGAATCCAAAGTCCAAGTAACTGAAGCAACAAAAGTAACATGGGTACCTATCAATTTTGAATCTTAATATAGATGCAGCAGTGTAAAAAATTTAAGAAAAAAATTATCTGATAGTTCTAAATGCCATAAGGACATTACCTTAATGGCAAAGGAAGTGACACTACCACCCCAAATCAAAATGACCTTCTCTGCATGCATGCCGTAGAAAGAAATGCCGTACGCGCACCTGTTAACTAAGCAAAATTAAAGCTTCATAATTAATGGTACATACATTATACCAATTAATTTATAGTCTGTTGGGCATAAGAGCCCTATACCTGTGTCAAATATGCCATTTTTCAATATATATACAGTGCTACTGAATTATTGACAGATTTTTCTCGACGTTGAAAATAGACTCACCATACTTTTAAAGGCAGTCGATACCACTGTGTAGTTCTTAGGCAGGCCAATGACACTCATCTGTTTATCTTCAAGAATAACTGGCAGGAGATCTGAACGCTGTCCCCATAGATATGCACACGTCACTCGAACATGATCGTCTCTGAAAAATGTGAATATTTGCCGTTTAGTGGGACAAACAACGTTCTGATAACAAAAAAGCAATGTTGCGTGGGCTAGCTGTCTGTGATTCAAACGGCGTTATGAAAGTCTCTGCACGAATTAAGTCTTGCTCTTCCCGTGAGATGCTTGCATTTTTCAACTGATGACTAAGGTCGATAACATATGTATTAGTACATGTACCCCATAACACATTAAAAGTGGCAATTACGTCATATCGTCAAAGCGAGACCTTAAAGTCCCTACTCCTGATCAGCAAGCTGATGTGAAAGTCATTTACTTTAAACCAATAACCATAACATTTCTGATATACCAATGTATTCCTCCCTGCCTTCCAAGTTCAGCTGCCCGCAATGTTGTTTATTACACGGTGTCGGGGACATTTAATAATTCATAGACAATGTCAGTAATTTCAAGTAATAACTTTATTTTAAACTGCAATACTCTATAATACATTATGTCAATTCTGAAGAGGCTGAGTAAGGCTTGTTTACCAGTCTCATTAAGAAGCTAGTGATAAGGAAGTGCTAACGCGTTATCCTAACTAAAAGTTTCCAACGGTGTCCGTATTTCGAGCCCAATTCTAAATTACGTTTATATCTCAA